GGGTAGTATATTCGCCAGATAGTATTAGATTGTATTGTACTACATTATACATATTGACATGCGAATAAAATATTATTATTTGCTAAGACAAGCACTTTATCACAAGTCAATAAATCAAACATAAAAATCGTTATTATCAATGTTTTATCATCATTCGCATTACAGAACACCAGCATTGGCTGCGGGTGGGTTTTGAGCACCGTTTTGTAACGCCAAACGAACCACTTTTGGCGTTGGTCTGAATACCTGAAGAAAACAGAAAAGAAATAGACGAATAAATGTGCGAATAAGAAGTGCAACGAATACTCTGAAAAAAACACCTGGAATGAACAACTCAAGTCCTCAGAAACGTTCATCGTTGCTGCAGCGTTATCGAATTGGCCACAGTAATGCGGTGCTGAAAATATCGTAACCAAATGACGCCCAGCAAAGAATTCATACCCATCTTGAACAACCTGAAATTCATCCACGTACCAAAATATGGGTTTTAAAGCTCATCCTTACGCAATAAATTTTGCTTGTAGACGTCAGTCAAATTCAATTCAAATTTGCTCATGCAGGTAATCATCCAATACAATAACCGTGACTAGATTTGTTCTGTTGAAGTGAAGTGTTCAGAATGAAAATGAAGGATGATCAAAAGAAGTGCTAATGGAAACCTGATGAGCACGCGCTATCAGGTCAATAGATAGTTTTTGACACATCTCATAGACAATATCGTCACCGAACATGTACGATATCCCTCGATTGCNTCAATAGATAGTTTTTGACACATCTCATAGACAATATCGTCACCGAACATGTACGATATCCCTCGATTGCTTGGTCTCCATCCTCTTGTATACTCATCTGGATCTGACCTTCAATATGAATGATAACAATAAATGATGATTACGCCAATGCATCAATTAAGCTGAAATATCGATGTCATTACATTTTATTCTATTGCTATCATTCTACTGGATATACGTATAAATATTGAATGAAGACACATCAATATTACGAGCGTTGAATGATTTTCCATTCGTAAAATTACTCTATGACTTTATAAACAAACAGGTACACACCATAAAATATCAATTTCCATTGAACCAATTTGTGGGTCTTGTGGTCGAGGGATGGTTCGAATTTTATCCAAAGAAAAAAGACTTGGAGACAATCCGCCATGCATACACAATATCTTTCCGGCCACTAAACTACCGAATGGCATGCAGTTGAACGTATCCTGGAATATTACTGAATTATTCCGTTTTCTAAATTCTTCTGTCAAGTTCTATTAGCATCTAAACTTTGCAAGGATTTCAATAAGACTCATCTGATGATAATTATGAGTGAGTATGTCATCACAAATATGTTCGTAATCCATAGAATTAAAGGAGATACAATTTATTTTAACGTAACAATCATCGAAGCACATTCACAAAACTGTAATGGACAAACCTGAAATGTATTCCAAAGGCGAACAGATCGATATCGACGAACAATTTCATCGAAAAATCCATAAACACGATTGATTGGAGAACATTCATGATTCCCTAGGATTTAGAAGAAATAAACTGGAGAATTTCAACGGAAAATTTAACAATCAACTTAAAATCCGAGAACCACAAAAATTTTGACCGCTAAAAAAGGCCAGAATACTTCAAAATTGAGCGCAGTGCAACAAATTCGAAAATGATGAACAGACCTCTTAACATAAAAAAGTTTTCAGGATATTTGGCTCGATACGAGAACATCAAGCAAGCAGTTTCGATACTTTGAAGACCGCGATCAACATAATCGCCCAGGAAAAGATAGTTCGCATCCGGTGGAAAGCCGTTCTTATCGAAGATACGCAATAAGTCAGAGTACTGTCCATGAATGTCACCACATATAACGACTGGTGCTTCGATCTCGACCAGCGCTGACTGACTTAGGAAACCTATTCGAACTTGATCATTCAACTCTCGAATCTCTTCCTCACTAACCTTGAACCCAAGCATAAGTTCACTACCACGTACAATCACAGTTCCAATTCAATCTCAGATCAGTAGTAAGACGAATACAAAGGCAATAAGACGTTGAAGTTGAAATATCAGCATGAAAAAGCGAGGCTGAGCAAAATTAAACAGTAACGATTCTGTTCCATACTTTTAGTAAATTGTTCTATTCAGATCTATTCCGCCCTTCAGTTGCTCTGCTTCGTTCTAATCTTCGCGTCTGGAACTGTTCTGTTCTATTCGTTGGAATAAAACGAAACAGTTTCAGATGGTCCTCTGTACATTTTAATCATTGTTGTAGGGAGTGCGAGGACTTCTCAAAATTTTCTAAGAGGTGAGGGAGGGGGAAATGTTGGGAACCACTGAGCTGGAAGGATAAGAACTACAGATGCGTGCCGTGAAGAGTCAAAGGCAAAAGAAGCAGTTTCTGTTATAGGTAACCTAGAATTTCAATGTATAATTTTACTCGCGTGGATGTGACACTGAACAAGTTCTCTAGAAGAAAGCAATCTCGACCAAAAAATTGCCCGACTGAGCATTAGTGTTTCCTATCAGTAAGGATAACCATTTTGATTAAGTGTAGCAATTGTGAAGAAATGAAGCAACGCATTGACTGTGATCATAAAATTTCATCGTTTGTGAGTGTGAGCAAGCAGTTCCCTGTGAATTGCCATTAATCAGTGATCAATTCACACCATACTCAGAATCCGATAGTATTCGCCAATGATGAAATGAACGAACATGTTTGGTAAGTCGACCACCGGTGAATCCGACATTAAGTAAGCGAACAATCAAATTATCAAGATTGAGACTCATTTATTACTTCTTTTGATGCAGTTTTCACAAAATTATCTAAAAAACAACAAAAATTATCAAATTTCGTTTGCAGCTCTTCAACGTGTCATATATTG